TTTACGGTAACAGGAGTATAATTACAACCACAACCTGGTGTCTCATTCCTTTGTGCAATCCCAGGGTATGAAAAATGTTACCTTTTCTATTCAATAGATTGCTAGCAGATTGCCAAATAAACTGAATAATCCCAAATACAATGATCCCCATGTGAAGACTAATTTGTTACTGCAAGCTCATTTATCCCGAATGCAGTTATCAGCTGAACTTCAGTCAGACACAGAGGATATCCTCAGTAAGGTGAGTATATACAAAGCATTACAGTAACTGCGAAAAACTTTATTTTTGCTGAAAAGACTCTGTGAGTGTTTTTTATGATTCTATTTGCACCTACAGTTGTATTTTTGACGAGCTAAATGTAAAATATAGAAAAAACATATAACAGGCTGTCTCACTTGTTTACATTTTGCATGCATGCTCAGTGACTAGTTGTAAAAAACAAGTTGTTCGCACCTGAAGATAAAAAAACAATGTTAGGGTGTTGTTGTTATTACTAAACATATGTGTATGTGTCTTTGTTAATATGTAAATATATGACATCACCATGCACTGGCATATACCAGAATAGTTTTATAGTTTTTCCTTTATTCAAAGACAAAAAACCCTCTCACACGATACTGATTGTTTTATTTGCACACATTTATGTCAATCTATTCATCAAACAATGTGGCCACAGAAAATAAATCATTTGTGTTTCAATGTCCAAGTATAATTTATTCACTGTAGGATACAAGCGGTATGGCGGTACCACCAGTGTTTTGTTTTTACCATCAAACTGGTCAGACACCACCACAGTCATTATCAATTTCTAAAAACTTGTGTATAGTTGTAGCACTTCTATTGCAATAACAAATTTAATAAATGAATTTGTATATTGTGTAACTGAGGACATGTTTGTATTATAATTAGAATGCTAATTATCACAATTTATGTTTGGAATAATTATGCACATGTTATGCAATTGAGTATGTATATTTAAATTTCTGAGAAGAATACTGAGTGATGTTTCCATGTAATGTTAACTGATGACAGTATCTTTTGTTCAGGGGTACTTGTAAAGGAGTAATGTTCGTTTGTCTTTTATTTTAGGCATTACGTTTAATTCAAGCCTGTGTTGATGTACTCAGTAGTAATGGATGGTTATCACCAGCTTTGGCTGCTATGGAGCTAGCCCAGATGGTAACCCAGGCAATGTGGAACAAAGATTCTTATCTTAAACAACTACCACACTTTGCAATGGAGATCATTAAGCGTTGCTCTGAAAAGGTATGCAAATAAAGCTTTTATGTTAATGCCGGGCTAAAAGACATTTAATTTTAACCTTATTGTTTCAAACTTTTCATTTCTATGACAAGTTTGTAGCATATAAATGTGTTTGTTGATATCCAGTCAAATCTGCTCTGGTTTGATTTCAGTTGGACTGGTTTTGATTTTATTCAGACTCGACCTGGTTTGATTTCAGTCATGTGTATAATTCCAAACATTTTTACAATTTTTTAGGATGTCGAAAGTATCTTTGATATTATGGAGATGGAAGATGATGATAGAAATGGTTTATTGCAATTATCTGATGTTGAGATGGCTGATGTAGCAAGGTTCTGTAATAGATACCCCAACATTGAGTTAACCTATGAAATACAAGATAAAGATGCATTACACAGGTCAGTCACTATTACCATGCATGGAAAAATCCAAGCAACAATACCCAACTACATGTATAAGCCAAACAGTCAATGTCAAAAGGCAATATTTACAAATCCGAGAACACACAGGAGACACACAAACAAAACAAACTGTCAAATCGTTGAGAGAGATACATGGACCTCAAGGCACAAACCAAGAGGTGATTTCAGGTGTTTCGAAAAGAGTGAGCACATCCTGCTCCACATGTGGCACCCGCCATATATCTCTCTGAGTCACAATCATGAATTTTAGGTCATCCTTGTGCAAAACAATTGACATCAAGCGCTTCTATTATCATCTGTTTCATAGAAACATGATACTTGTCCACTGATGATTCTTGCCACACACAGTTCATTTGATTCCCAAGTAAAATATGAGATGTATTTGACAACTATGTGCGGCCTGAACTACTTGTTGTTACCACTATCCACGTTATACACTTGACCACAATGTGTTTCAGTGTTCTTACAACTACCTACTGGGAACAGAAAACACTTCAGTTTGTGAAGGTTGAAAATTAAACACTACTGCCTCATATTGAGAATGTTATGTTTCTAACTAATTTTATTCAGACATTCCATTAATTACACAGGTAATTCCAAACTGGAAATTGATGTTGGACATAATTATTTTGTTCCAAAATTAATTTACAAAATGTCATAAGCAGTCATATTCAAAAAGATTTCTTTGATAGTTTGATATTGAATGTATGCAATACTGCTTATCCTTCATCACTTATGAAGTGTTTCATGACTTCTATCGCAACTCAAAATCTTTTGTGAAGTCTACTGTATTTGCCCCTCAGCACACATGAATCATTAAACAATGTACATGTACTATGAAAAGGTTATTACAAAACACCCCTGTGGTGCCATTTTAATCATGGTTATGTTATTTTGATGAGTCCCAAAACCAAATACCAAGATGTATGAAAGAAATGTTGATGTTATTAGCCAAAATAATAAACTTTATGTTTGAATCTTGTCTGTTCACAGTGGTGAAGCAGTGATCATCGTAGTGACCTTGGAACGTGAAGACGAGATAACAGGACCTGTCATAGCTCCTTTCTTCCCTCAGGTAATGAATTAAGGTGTAAAACATGAGAAACTAAATAACAAAATAAGTGAATGGTTGCTTGAATATTGAATAGTTGATCTGTTAAAAATAGTTTAATCATCAGAATATCTCAAATTAATAAATATGTCAAACCTTAAACTGTTACTAGGGTAAAAGGGTTTGAATTCTATTGTGATTCAAGAAAGATTTATTTTAAAGTGTTTTGTTTTTTTATTTCAGAACCGAGAAGAAGGATGGTGGGTTGTGATTGGTGACACTAAAAGTAACAGTCTGATATCCATCAAAAGATTGACCTTACAACAGAAAGCTAAAGTCAAGTTAGACTTTGTAGCGCCCTCTACGGGATCTCATAGTTATACTTTGTTTTTCATGAGTGATGCTTACATGGGATGTGATCAGGAATACAAATTTAGTGTCAATATTAAACAAGCCATGAGTGACAGTGATGATGATAGTTCTGATGAAGAATAAAACAATCTATAAACGTCATGTGTTTGCTGATTATAATTGTATGAGTATATTTTGTGACAACTTGTAACATATATGGGCGTGTACTGTAAAATGACGCTGGGTTTAAATTTGGCTGATTAACCATCTCAGACATATTCAGTGGGCTTTATCATTTAGATAATGTGTTCTATGCTAAATTTTACATATTCACTGGGTTTTAATTTAGCACATTTTCCAGTCAGCGAAATAAGCAAAATTAAAACCCAGTGAATAATTAACCCCTTTACAGTATTATTATCACTGTCACCTTATTAGGACATAAATAGTTTCAGTGATTCCCATATATGGACATCTAATGTCACCAAATATGGGCATATGTTTTCATTATGCTGATATGATACAACTACGTGCTTTGACTTTTTCTATCTATTATTCTGGCTATTGTTGTGTTCATATATGGTGTCAATGATGACTGAAATCTGATATATATCTTGTATATAGTAGTTGTATGACTAGAAATGTCTTGTATTTCAGTGAATAATAATCAGAAAGTGATCAATATTAGAATTGTGGAAATCTGATCTCATGAGTTTGTGATAAATTGGAATCTGGGTTTTAAGGGGGGAGCATTTTGGAAAAACAAATTGTCACCAAAGTCACAGCCAGGATACATGTAGGTGCCGTTTAGTATTAAAAAAAATTGAACATTTAAAAATCACTGTAAATTCTTGATATTTGGCTGAGTGAAGGGTGATATCAAATCAATGACAAAAAACTAACAACCAGGTGTACCTGAACTTGTTTCTAATAACACAATGATTGAGCCATTTCCCTTATAGCATTGAGCCCTGCTCTGGTGGCCCTTTGATAAATGGGTAAAATGCATACAAGTGATTTTCATAATTCAAAATGTAGTTCAGCTCTCAAAAGTTTTTTTCTTAAAAATTTAAACGGTGAATTAAAAGAACATTATGTTCATTTCAAGCTTATTTTTGTAAGCCTTCTATAAACTGATGATTTTCAGATATTTGACCATTGCTAACTGGTGGTTTTCATAACACTTTGATCATTTTGAGTTTCTGACATTGAAAACTGAAACTGTTACTCTAAATCTGGTTCTGTAAACTTGAACATTGTATATACTTTGCTGTGTTCTATCTCAAATTACTGTTTGGTTGAAAAGATACACATCGTGATATTTGCAAATCACTCTAACTAATCAAGACTATTATATTTGTAAACTTATACATCTAAGATAAAAAAAAACTTTTATTGCATTCTGTCTTTTATGCTAAATATGTTTAAATAAATAACTTTAGTTTTTAGGATCTGATATATGCGTTGTTTCCTTTTTTGTATGCAACTCCATGAGAAGTTGATATGCTAATGTTATGCAAAATGCCACACAAATAAATTGTCCTTTTTTTTTTACATTACCTCTGTCATGGGTTCTCTACAGTGGTATGTGCTGTACATATGCCTTGGATTAAGTCAAATGTTTTTATCTCTACCTTGTATTAATCTATTTGTATAAATATTAATTCTATTACGTCATCACTTCACTCGAGATTACATGAGATAGCACTGCTCATGTGCGGCCTCTGCATATTCAGTGCAGTGCGTGTTGCTGAATACGTCCGCATGAAATTGGTCTCTGTGACAATTTGACACTTATTGACTGAGGTAACATGTTACTTGTCTGACAGTCTATTGTGTTGTTACACACTGTGTGTATTAATTACTGTCGTCATTAAACAACGTAGTTGTTTATCCACGTTCTTCTTTTTGAAAGTTGAACATTTAAATATGGCGGCAAGAGCTGATGCTACGGCTGA